TAACCTGTACATTATCTCGTTTTACAGTTGACCAGTTTAGTCTTGTGCACATGATTTATTATTCCAAAATAGATGTATTGTGAACATATCATTAAATTCATGGATATATATCGAAACACAGAAACCGAAACAAAATTGAGTACAATTTTAAAGTGTAAGGGGGCGACCATTCCTGATTCAGTTAAAATAAGGGAGGGGATGGCTATGCAAGAGGCTTTTAAAATCAGCATGAATAAAATTGCAAATAAACGTTTATGCAGAAATGTCTCAAATATGCGTCCTCAAGTAACAAAAAAAGATAGTTGAGTAAGACCAAATTCATTGAAATTACCTGCTTAATTTGTAGTAAAAGAATATAGATCCCGTAACTTTTGTTATACATGTTCAGGTATAACAAAATCTAAAAAATAAATATCAAATTGATGTTTCCACAAAAGCTACTCAGACTCCAATCAACGTAAATTTTGCACATAAGACCGGATTCATATGCTTCTTGATATTTATTTTTTGTTAGAATGATATTTAAATGTCACGAAAACCTGATCGTCGGAGTCTTCGATGGGAATTCAAATTTGTTCCGTGCAAAAAATTATGCAGCCCAGAGGACTAAAATGATTTTTTATGAAGGTCCGGGGTTCTTATTACCAACAAAAATAATATTAGTATGAAAGTTGATCGTAGGTTACTCTACATCAACTCGTACGAATAAATGTTTTCTTATTTTTTTTAAGGAGCCACAGAACGTTTGGGCAAGATAAAACATAACGTTTTTTTTTCTCGATTACTTGGTGATATCACCTCTGAATATACTCATTCTGTCAAAAGAAACTTTTTGTTGTGAGTATATAAAAATATTCAAAACAAATTCCTATAAACTTTCATACAAAAACTTTTATTTTATGAATGGACATGAGTAAAGTTAGTAATTATGTATATCCTCATTGAGAGGCCCCTGACATACTGTGCGTGAAGTCTTTATTGTCGACAGCCAGTGATACACACGATTACATTTAATTACCATGTGATTTAACTTTTAACCATGTGTTCATGTCCACGCTGTTATGAAATTCATTCTATTCTTCAGTGTTGCTACCCAAAATCCATATTTTTGTTGGGAAAGAAACAGGCTAAGAAACAGTGACACTTCATTTTCTTTCTAATCACGTGATAGATTAACAAGAGACGAGAAGTCGACGTGTCGTAGGACGCAGACTTCAAAAAGAAAGGAAATGAAACTTGCTGCATTATCCTTTAACATCACTTTCAACTTTAAATATTTGATTCTTTCTCTGAATAAGTTTGGTGAACATGCTAAAATGCATCTCGGACTTTGAACAAAAAATATATTATACCACACATATATAACAGTTAGGGACGCATTATTTTGACTTACACCCAGAACAGTTGAGAACAAAAATCTACGACAAACAGATGATTTAAAAAATGTTCACATTTTTACATTGAAAAATTATTTAGGCACCTACATATGGAGATATATTCTGCGACTTGATTTTCGTATTCTTATTTTCGTGATCAAGAATAGCTACTTCCAATGCAGAGGCGGATTTAGGGGGGGGGGGGGGGGGGGGCAGGGCCCCCCCCCCCCTTTTTGTGGGAAAAATTTGGTTGATTATATAGGGAATCACTGAAGCATGACTGGAGTGGGCCCCCTCTTAGGCAGTCAGTGGGCCCCCACTTATGAAAATTTCTGGATCCGCCACTGCAATGGGGTTTTAATAATAAAGTTGAAGTTTCTTTTTTTTATTGACGTCATCGTGATTTGATTAGTCGGAGTGGAATATTTGTCTCGCATAGCCATGGATGTTAAGTAGCCACAACCCTTTGATCTTTTCCATGTTATGGCATTGCCGAATGATATTTAGTACCGGGATTTATTTGACTTGAGGAACATGACGGGTGTCATTAGTGGAGCAGGATCCGTACCTATGCATCTGCTTGAGTCCCGGTTTCTTTTGTGTGTGAAGAGAAATCTTCCTCTTTCTTGTACTGCTTGGTCAATAATTTTTTGTCTGTTCCACGTCGTTTATTTCAGAACATGTTGTTGTCTGTTTTTTTTCGGTTTTTGCTATGGTTTTGTATTGTCCTTCGGTACTTCTCTACAACTTAACTTCAATAAACAGCTATAATTCATACCTTTATTTCAAAAAGACAACTACGAATCTTCCATAAAACGAAAAATGTCTTCATTATAATAAAGTCCTTGTTTTTTTTTTTAAATTGAAGGCATTATTTTACAGGAAGATATGGCGACAAAACGTCACAGGCAAATACTCTGCTTCGGGAATTAATACATTTAAAGTCGTATGAAACTTCAAATTAAAAAAAATAATGATGCATATGTTTTTTATAACTAAATTTTGTTATAAAACTTATGTACATATTATACTTGTTTCTAAAGAAAATTCTTTAATTTGTCCAAATTTTGAAGAAATTTACTTTTTTTTTATAATTGTTGGCTTCCCATACAATAACTCGGAATGGAAAATGGGAATGTGTCAAAGAGACAACAACTCGACCAATGGGCAGAAAACAACCGAAGGCCACAAATGGGTCTTCAACACAGCGAGAAAATCTCGCTTTCGGAAGCGGGCTTCAGCTGGCCCCTAAACAAAATGTGTACTAGTGCAGTGAAAATGGACGTTACACTAAACTCCAAAACATATAAATGAACTAAAATTTAAAAAAACATACAAGTCTAAAAAAAGGCCAGAGGCTCCAGACTTTGGACAGGCGCAAAAATGCGGCGGGGTTTAACATGTTTTGTGAGATCTCAACCCTCCCCTATACCTCTAGCCAATGTAGAATAAACGAACACACAGTAATACGCACAGTAAAACGCAGTTTAAAAGAAGTCCGAGTCCGATGTCAGAATACTAAGCAAAAAGATTAACAAAGGACTACTAGCAGTTATTGACATGCCAGCTCCAGACCTCAATTAAACTGATTGAAAGATTATAACTTTATCATATGAAAATCAAGCACAATACCTCCCGTTAGGGGTTTAGTATCATACCATCATAAAATATATGAGAACATAACCCGTATCATGCCAACAACTGGTTTTAGAATAAATGTGTTTATTTCCGATGCAAAGACCCTATGAACGAATCAATATTAATACCAAAATATGCCATCTTTAATGACCTGACAACAGTATTGTAACTATATCCCTCCTGAATAAGACTGTTTAAGGTATGGTTAACTTTTGAGGTGAATGCCGACATTTTTGTGCTTTGTATAGAATATTACCAAAGAAGATTGGATGTGAAATACCTGAACAGTATTGGGCTATAGCAAGAAATCTTCAATTGCACGGTATTGCGCATAAGCAAGAAATCTTCAATTGCACAGTATTGCGCAATAGCACAGTATTGCGCAATAGCAAGAATTCTTCAATTGCACAGTATTGCGCAATAGCACAGTATTGCGCAATAGCACAGTATTTCGCAATAGCAAAGTATTGCACAATAGCACAGTATTGCGCAATAGCAAGAAATCTTCAATTGCACAGTATTCAGCAATAGCACAGTATTGCGCAATAGCAAGAAATCTTCAATTGCACAGTATTGCGCAATAGCAGGAAATCTTCAATTGCACAGTATTGCGCAACAACACAGTATTGTGCTATTGCGCAACAACACAGTATTGCGCAATATCACAGTATTGAGCAATAGCAAGAAATCTTCAATTGCACAGTATTGCGCAATAGCACAGTATTGCACAAAAGCACATTATTGCGCAATAGCAAGAAATCTTCAATTGCACAGTATTGCGCAAAAGCAAGAAATCTTCAATTACACAGTATTGCGCAATAGCAAGAAATCTTCAATTGCACAGTATTGCGCAATAGCAAATAATCTTCAATTGCACAGTATTGCGCAATAGCAAGAAATATTCAATTGCACATTATTGCGCAATAGCACAGTATTGCGCAACAACACAGTATTGCACAATAGCAAGAAATCTTCAATTGCACAGTATTGCGCAATAGCAAGAAATTTTCAATTGAAAATAAATACAAATCTTTTAACCAATTTCAATGGGATTAATTTAAAGTCTTTAAATTTTTGGGGGTTGTAACCTTGTATTACTTTTTTGGATATTGGGCCCCATTTTTAAATTGGTCTACATTGAGGTCAAAAGGGTCCAAAATTAAACTTTGTTTGATTTCATCAAAAACTGAATTATTGCGGCTGTATGATATGCTGAATCTTATTGTGCATTTAGATTTTTTATTTTGGGCCCTGTTTTCAAATTAGTCCATATTAAGGTTTAAAGGGTCAAAAATTAAACTTTGTTTGATTTCAACTAAATTTTTTTTTTTTTTATATACTGAATCTAACTTTGTTGTTAGATTTTGGATATCAGACCATTCTAGGTAAATTAAATGTCCCATTTCAAAATTTTAAGATCTTTGACCACATTTATTTTGTGTCAGAAACCTATATTATGTAAAAAATTTGATCACAATCCAAATTCAGACAATACCAAGCTTGAATATTGTGTCCAAACTTGCCCCAACTGTTCAGGGTTCGACCTCTGCGGTCGTATCAGGCTGCGCTCAGCGAAGCATTTTATTTAAACATGCTTCGTCTAAAACTTAACACAACTTAACACTACTGTATAACAGGCTACAGAAAATACATTACTGAGTTGTATACTTTGTTCCCGAGGGTATCACCAGCCTTGTTGTCCGCACCTCTGTTTTGACATAAATTATCATTGATATGGTAATTTTTATAAATAAAATATTTACAAAATTTTTGAATTATTCGAAATAAAATTTTCTAACCCAGGAATAGATAACCTTGGCTTTATTAGGCCAAACCTTTCGGAATTTTGGGTTCTCAGCGCTCTTCAATTTCGTTATTATTTGGCCTTTTACACTTTTTGGATTCGAGTGTCACTGATGGGTCTTTTTTAGATGAAACGCGCGTCTGGCGTACAAAATTATAAGTCTGGTATCGTAGATGAGTTTTTTACAACCACTGGGTCGATGTCACTGCTGTTGGAGGTTTCCACCAAGAGGATTTCACAAGCCCAGTAGTCAGAACTTCTATGTTGACATGAATTGTCATTGATACGGTCATTTTTATAAATTAATTATTTACAAAACTTTGAATTTTAGAAATACTTAAAAATTCTACCCCAGGAATAGATAACCTTAGCTGCACTTTGCAAAACCTTTCGGAATTTTGGGTCTTTTTATTCGAGCGTCACTGGTTGATCTTTTGTACACGAAAAGCGCGTCTGGCGTCCAAAATTATAAGCCTGGTATCTATATTATGAGTTAATTGTTCACTGCGACAAATTCCGAAAGGCGATCCATTTTTTGTTAATCTGGGTCTACTAGAACATTTGCCACATGTTACTGTTTATATATATAGCTATATAAAATCAGTCTAATAACGCAAAATATTTCAGAGTAGTTTATTATGTTTTATATGAATTTACACATTGTTTTTATATTTTCCATTCCATTTCCCAGAACTTCCACCCCATTGTCCGACACCTCCCAACTTTGCCCCACCTGCAACACTACCACCACTACTGCTGCTAAAACTGGAACTAAAACTTGAACCACTGCTAGTGGAACTTGAACTTGACTTTGCACTTGACTTTGACGAACTAGAACCTGCTGCAAAAGAGCTGCTATGTGCATTTGATCCACGACCCATTATAGCTCCTCCAGAAGATGGGACACCTCCACTCGACGAAATGCCTGTTTTTACTTTAATGCCAGAGCCTGTACCGCCAGACTGTGCTAAACTTGACCCAAATGAACTACCACCATCTACACTGCTAGAACTGGAAAATGCCGAAGTACCACCACCTCGGACGCTACCACCAGCAATACCCATGTTGCCTCCTGAAACACCAGATTTTATCTTTATCCCAATATCTTCCCCAACCCTTCCACTGATAGACGCAGATTTGCTGGAACTACTACCTAACCCAGTGGATCCAGCACCGATAACACTTCCATCTACTCCACCGCCGATGTTACCAGACATACCAGAATCTTGTGTAACCTGTAACCCTCCTTGACTGGCACCAGCAGAACCAGAATGTAACAAACTGGATGAAATACCCGAAGAACCACCAACACTGCTGCCAATTTGAGCACCTCCATTACCAGACAAACCCACACCAGCGACACCGTTACTTCCACCTGAACCTGCAGATTGTATACTCATTCTTATTCCACTTACGCCACTCGTACCACTGCTTGTCTGTGAGGAACCAGCTACAGATGAACTACTTATAGTTCCGTCGTCGTTGCTGCCTATTGAACCGCCATCCATATTTGATAGTAGTTTAACATTCACACCGACAGCCCTGTTATTGTTATTTGTACCAGAACTAGAACCAGAAATGCCAATTTTTGTTTTACCACCACTTCCACCAGAAATTCCCATTCTTGTTTCACTACCACTTCTACCAGAAATTCCCATTCTTGTTTCACCATTATTTCCACCAGAAATATCCATTACTGTTTCACCACCATTTCCACTAGAATTTATTCTTCCATCAACATCATCGTTACCATTACCACCATCTGATCCATTTTGATCGTTATCATTACCAGATGTACCATCCCTAGAGATACTTCCTGTTGATGCAGCAAAATTTCCACCAACTGCGCCAGATGTTCCTCCGCCTATGCCAACACTGCCACTCATCCCCACTCTGTTTACACCTGAATGGCCAGTATTTACTTTCATACCAATGCCTCCACCGATATTTCCTCCAAATGAACCACTGCTACCAACACTGACTTTTGATATACCACCAGTTGATGAACCTCTAACACTAGCACCAGACATACCACCTGCAACGCCTACACCTATACTACTACTACTACCAATTCCACCACCAAATCCAGTTCCCATTCCAACGATTCCTTTCAGTCCGGTTCCACCACTGCCACCATGAGAAAATCCACTCTTCATTTTTATACCAATTCCACTAGACATCGAGTTTGATAACCCACCACTAGCGCCGAATCCAACTCCACCACTGACACCTGAGCTAGACATCGAGCTTGATAAGCCGCTGCCGGAGCCGAATCCAATTCCCCCGCTTACACCTGAGCTTGTCATCGAGTTTGATAAGCCACCACCAGAGCTGAATCCAACTCCACCGCCTACACGTGAGCTTGACATTGAGCTTGATGAGCCGCCGCCAAAGCCGAATCCAACTCCACCGTCTACACCTGAGCTTGCTCCGCTGCCTATACCCATGTTTGCTGATCCACCACTCGATGAACTGAAGCTGGATTTGAATTTGCTACTGAAGGATCCACCAATTTTGCCTCCAACTCCACCTCCCAATCCAATGCCGGGGTTTACATTACCTCCACAGTCATCATCGCAAGCATGTCTTTTACCAGTCACTGTCAAACAATACAGAAAATCAGGTGATATTTAATAGGACTTACCCGGCATAATATATATTTTCTATAGACGAGTTTTATCGTTATCATAATGACAGTTGTCTTAGGTCAATCAGGACCTTATACCGTATAGCGGGTTATTTTCGCGGGGTGTAAATTTTCGCGGATTGAACCGAATCGCCAAAATAAATTCCGCTAATTTAAAAGTACACATGCAATGGTATTGTATAAAAGTTTTAAATCCGCCGAAATAATAACCGCCAAAATATTGTGTATACCTTATTCAATGAAAATCGCGAAGTTTTACATCTGCGAAAAATAACCCGCTATACGGTATAACCACCAAAAAAAAAGAGAAAATTTGATTTTTTTCAATTTATTACAGAAGAAATTTTAAAGAAATATAAAAACATAAGGTACAGCAAAATATGTATGATAGTGAACTAATTCACATAATATGGGCTTCCAAATCAATGTATCATACGGTTGAACGATGGCAAAGGTTTTTTCTTTTAATAATTTAAAGAATATGAAAGACCTTGATCAGATGAAAAAATACGAAACGACTAACATTACAAAAGAAAATATTACACAGAAAACTAAAAGTTGAGCATCATGCGCACCATTGTTTTCATTGAATAAAGAGCTCAACTAAGGCAGCGACCTTTTTGGGGGAGGGGGATTCCACTAGACCAGCTGTTGTTTTAACTTAAATCCAAAAACTTTTTTTTCTAATAAAAGCAATACTGGAACAATATTTTTTTTAATCGTATGTTTTTATTTTTCTTACTTATTTTCAATAGAAACTCTTTTTCACATCCCTTCTATAACAAATTGTTTTTCTTTTATACATTAAGAAACAAACATTTTTTGTCAAACCATGCTCCTGTCATTCAGTAAGATGAACGATCGAAGCCGAACGACTTTTGTTAACCTAAGTTTGTTTGAAACACTGTTTCGATGTTATTTTTCGTTAACAATACATTAAAAGATAACAAGATTTCCCCAAAAGTGTGGACAGTACACACCATGTATACCAGACTTCTTCGAAAAAAAAAGAATAAGACATACCAACAAAGACTCTAACAACACATGGTCCAGGTAGCCTGACTTGGTACATGCACAAAGACTAACAACACATGGTCCAGGTAGCCTGACTCGGTACATGCACAAAGGCTGACAGCACTTGTTCCAGGTAGCCTGACTTCGTACATGCACAAAGACTCACAGCACATGTTCCAGGTATCCTAACTTGGTACATCCACAAAGACTATCAACACATGTTACATGTAGCCTGACTTGGTACATACACAAAGACTAACAACACTTGTTCCAGGTAGCCTGACTTGGTTCATGCACAAAGATTAACAACACATGGTCCAGGTAGCCTGACTTGGCACATGCATAAAGACTTACAACGCATTTTGCAGGAAGCATGACTTGGTACACGCGTAAAGACTAACAACGCATGTTACGGGTAGCCTGACTTGGTACATGCACAAAGACTAACAAAACGTGGTCCAGGTAGCCTGACTTAGTACATGCACAAAAAACAACAGCACATGTTCCAGGTAGCCTGACTTAGAACATGCACAAAGACTAACAACACATGTTCCGTGTAGCCTGACTTGGTGAATGTACAAAGGCCCAGGTTCAAGGTAGCCTGACTTCGTACATGCACAAAGACTTACATCACATGTTCCAGGTATCCTGACTTAGTACAAGCACAAAAAACGACAGCACATGTTCCAGGTAGCCTGACTTAGTACATGCACAAAGACTAATAACATATGTTCCATGTAGCCTGACTAAGTACATGCACAAAGACTAACAATACTTGTTCCAGGTAGCCTGACTTGGTACATGCATAAAGACTAACCTAACAACACATGTTCCATGTAGCCTGACTTGGTTCATGCACAAAGACTAACAACACATGGTCCATGTAGCCTGATTTGGCACATGCATAAAGACTTACAACACATGGTCCAGGTAACCTGACTTGGCACATGCATAAAGACTAACAACACATGGTCCAGGTAGCCTGACTTTGCACATGCATAAAGACTTACTACACATGGTCCAGGTAGCCTGACTTGGCACATGCATAAAGACTTACAACACATGGTCCAGGTAGCCTGGCTTGGCACATGCATAAAGACTAACAAGACATGGTCCATGTAGCCTGACTTGGAACATGCACAAAGACTTACAACACATAGTCCATGTAGCCTGACTTGGTACATGTACAAGTGAAGTGGATTTAAATGCAGATTTATTATCTACCTGTCGTTGTCACAATTCAGACTTTCTTTCCTCGTTCTTGACTTTTCACTCGAGATTTTTACACTACCAGGGGAACATGTACTACTTATTCTTCATAAAAACAAGTCCCCCTCTTGTTTTTGTGTGTTTCGAGTTGTTCAATCTTTAGTTTTCCTGAGTATCTTTCCATCTTGTTATAGTGTTGTCTGTCCTTTATTGATTTTTACAGTTAAGATTAACCTTTTGTATCTTCTTGATTTTCCTCATATTAATGAAGCATTGGGAAAATGTTTGATTTATTTTTGTGGTCATAGAATTAAACCAAAGTGACCTTCTCCAAGTTGTAATAGGTGTTTTTTGTTCTGTTTTATCATTTTTGGAAATTTTGATATCAAATATCACAATCACAATCTGACTGATACATAAGTAAGACAGCTATAATTGATTGCTTAAGCATATACGTCATGCATATGCAAGTGTAAAAACTGAAGTGCTGGTAAAGTGGATGGACAAACAAGTATATAAAAGGGCGTATTGGGTAGGACCTAAGTTTATAGGTCACATTCCGTAAAGGATCTCTCTGAAAAGCTTTTAAAATAATTTATTTAACCTATAAACAAATCGAGTAACCCTCCATACAATACCTTTTTGAATGCCCTTTTGAGGGTCTACCACTTTTTATATATCATACCGAAATACATTTTGTAAACTGAAACTAAAAAAATAAGACAAAAAAATAGGTACAAATTATAATGTATTTCCATATGTATACACACCATAACCGGTAGCTTGGCCACAGCCACAAAATAGTAAAATACTGAAAGCAGCAAGCATGTTCATCCTATAAGAAAAAGAAGTGGTTCATTAGTTAAATCTTAAAATAAAGAAGTTTAGTCTCTCTCTCTCTCACACACACACACACACACATACACACACACACTAGACGCAGAATTTTGTTTTCAAAAATATTTTTTTTTTAATCCGCGTCTTATAGATTTCTTCTGTTCCATTTCCTATCATTATTGTTATTATTTTTTAGAACTTCAAATGAAAACACAGTACATCATATACTGAGTTAGGCGAATTTTAGGAACTCTGGAAATTTTAATTGGTAAGGGAAAAAATTGTGACTTCTCTAAGAAATTTCTCCTCCTGAAATAGTTTTAAGAATCAATTCATATGAAGCTGACCGTCAGCTTGCCAGCTTTTGTATTTTTCCTCCAAAAGTCTGTAGTTATTTTATTTTCAAAGAATGAGTTTATTTATTCTTTTCAACTGTAGGTCAGTTTCTTATATATATTTCAATACTTTTACTGAACTGTTATAGTCGTATGGTAAACCAAGCCGTAATAAGACATCGACCATTCATCTTTTTTTTTTTTTGGGGGGGGGGGGAGGGGGGGGCTATATTTTTATTTCTCTCGGGACAAATAACTATTCCATTTTTTTTTTTAAACATATTTTGCAAAAACGTACAGAAATAAGATTTATTTTTATCAATGCTGAATTATTTTTTTTTACTTTCCTTCTGAAACTATTTTTTTCTCTAAAGATATTAACAATCAAACAATTTATTTAAAAAAAAACATGCCCCTCCCGTCCAAAGATGAATGGTCGGTGCCTTATGGTATTCTGTGATTGATTGATTGTTTGTTTAATTTCCTATTTCACATATTGCGAAACAAATGATACTTTTCCACAGACTCACTTGAAGGTTACATGTCGATTTAAACTTTTGCAAGTTCTTTTGTCCCATTGAATAAATACAATAGATATTGTTCTCTGTGTAGTTTATTCACAGGGACCTTTAAATTTCTTCTAGGAGAAATCTATCACTCATTGATTAATTTACCCGAGTAAAAAAATTAGCTTATAAATAGACAAAATTACATGTTTTATACTCAAAAACTGGACGTATTTATTCGATGGGACAAAAGAACTTGCATAAGTTTAAATCAACAGGTAACTTTCAAGTGAATCTGAGGGGCCTCGGTGGCCGAGTGGTCTAAGTAGTCGAACTACTGTATCACTAGCCAGTCAACACTGAGGTTGTGAGTTCGAATCCCGCACGGGGCAGGTGCACGAGACTCCAATCTTAATTGACTAGGATTGTCAATTTTCCTACCGAAGGTCGGTGGTTCTCTCCGGTCACTCCGGCTTCCTCCACCAATAAAAACTGACCGCCACGAAATAGCACAATAGTGTTGAAAATGGCGTTAAACAAATCAATCAATCAATCAATCAAGTGAATCTGTGGAAAAGTATCATTTGGTTCGCAATAAAAGACCTAATTAAGATATATATACTTCATCAGAATTGAGATAAGCATTTTTTTTATAACAACTATATATATTAACATCAGCTTCTTTATGGATTTTTAAACTAAGTACTAAATCATCGATTGACAATATTGTGTTTTCTTTATATAAAATGAGTTTGAAATACTTGCGTAAAAAGAAATTTTTGTTAAAAATTGTAAATGCTATATTACTTACCTTGATGACAATGTGTTGCGACTACTCTGATTTATAAAGTGATAACTTCAGAAAAGGAACGGATTTGGTTATTATTTGTAATTAATTGTGAGTTAAGTGCAGTTGTGTTGTACGTGTATGTTTCCAATTCGTGTAGACTAGCAAAAACCTACTTTAGAGTGTGTCCAAACTAGAAGGGGATTTTTAAAAGTCTGCAACTTTTACAATTGAAATTAATAGTAAACAAATTTTGTAATTTGCACTGTAACGTAAAATGTAATTATTGTTTCCTGTTGCAAAACACAAATTATACATCTGACGACATCTTATTAATTATCTATGTTTGTTAATTTCCGCATGACAGTAACTTCAACACTTGTAGTGGGAGCACGAAACATGCAGAAAAATTAATAACACGTCTGGTAAAAAGGTATAAAATCAGACGCTGTAACATATTTGTCAGCTAAGCTTCAAGGACAGTCCATCAGCAAAATATTCAGGTATGTATACAAGACGGTATCTTTAAAGTTAAATTTGAATTAAATATACAAACTCAATTCAGTTTCAAAAACAATAATCATTTTCGTAGAAACGTTCTAAGTATGTATTTTTTTCGATATTTTTTACAAGTGTGAGGACAAATAGTTTTCTCAACTTTGAGCAAAATAGTCAGAATAATTATTTAAGAAACTAGTTTTTACATACCTAAATCTATTTAAGAATTTAATTTCGGTGTTTCCAAAGTTATGTAATATGTCATAATACTCTTAGATAATTCGGGTCCTGTGTACATATTATTTCAGCCCAGATATATTTTTTTTAGATAATTCGGGTCCTATGTATATATTATGCAGGTTTCATACATCAAATTGATTTGTCGACTTGGTGAAGGTTTTCATTATTTGATAAAATGAAGGAACGCAAATATTGTATTACTTTCAAATATGCATTTTTATGCATTAATTTTAAAAAAGTAAATAAAGTATACATGTCCTTCCTGAGCACCTGAGATCACCCCCAGTTTTTGGTGGAGTTCGTGTTGCTCAGTCTTTAGTCTTCTATGTAATGTTTTGTATACTGTTGTTTGTCTGTTGTTTTTTTTTTTGCCATGGCGTTGACAGTTTATTTTCGACTTATGAGTTTGAATGTCCCTTTGGTATCTTTCGCCTCTCTTTTATGTAACTATAAACAATAACATACTTTAAAAAAAGATTTAGTTGCATCAGAGAATTGCAGTAGAATTCCAAGAGAGTTTGATTGGAATTTTGGAAAAGTCTAAATATGTAACAATTGCTGTCAACCTAACATTGACAATTATACCACATCTCCTTAATATTTCTATATAGGAAATCTGTATAAACGAAAGATAAATATAATTTCAGAATGCAGTTAATAGTTGCTTTGTGTGTTTTGGTTGTTTGTGTTTCTGCGCAACAAGACTACAGGCAAGGTAAGACAACATAACGTGTAGCATAGTTTATGTGTTATTGTCACAGATATTATTAAAACAGCCATATAAATGTCAGTCCTTTTACTCTTGTGTTTGGCTTGTAGATTATTTATGCATGCAATAGTAATTCATTTTAAAAGTTAAAAATTTGGAAAATAATTTTATTATATTTTATGTGAAATCTTTTTAAGGAAAAAATTTGTTTTAAGAAAATATGTATCCTCATTGTAGAAAGACTTAAACATATGAAAATTCAAGTATAGAAACTGGCATGTTTAACTTACAAAATCTTTGTTTTTCAACAGATTATAGAAGAAAGAGATCCGGAGGTCATAAATATGGTAAGAGATTCCAATAAAGCTGTTTACCTTTTATTGAGAAAACAGAACCGATGTATTTATTGCAGAAAAAACAAAATTATATTTGAATGCTATATAATTTATGTCAAGTTCAATGAAGATCGCCATGGCTACACTTCTCTCTACAAAATTAGAAGTTGCATTCACGTCAATTCTTATTGTTCTAATTTGGCAAGATCATAACTAATTTGACCGAATACTTTAAAAACGTTTAATCGCAGTGACAGTTTAGAAAATATCAAAACAAATTCATTCCGTAAAAATGGAATAAAATATAAATATAAGGGTTTATGTTTGGGGATGATGATAATCAGATCCAGCTTTTGTAATTTTCCAACAAACACTAATACAAAAGACCCAAAACCTTTCGTTTTGGAATTCTTTATCAAAGGAATCAGATCAAATGTTTTAATCACTTTTAAACTGTAGGTAGCGATGGTGGTGCTGGATCTGGTCACATTGGAGGAGGAATTTCTGGTGGACTTGGAGGACTTACTGGTGGCCTTGGAGGAGGACTTACTGGAAATCTTGGAGGAGGACTTACTGGTGGTCTTGGAGGAGGACTGTCCGGTGGTTTAAGTGGCAAGGTTGGAGGTGGGGTTTCTAGTGGACTTGGAGGAGGACCTTCTGGGGGTCTTGGAGGAGGACTTACTGGTAGTCTTGGAGGAGGACTTACTGGTGGTCTTGGAGGAGGACTGTCCGGTGGTTTAAGAGGCAAGGTTGGAGGTGGAGTTTCTGGTGGACTTGGAGGAGGACTTTCTGGGGGTCTTCGAGGAGGACTTTCTGGTGGACATGGAGGTGGGCTGTCCGGTGGTGTAAGTGGCGGACTTTCAAGTGGACTTGGAGGTGGTGTTAGTGGTGGCCTTTCAGGTGGACTTGGAGGTGGCCTCATCGGAGGGACAGGTGGATCATTAGGGGGCAAAATTAAAGGAAGCCTCAGTGGAACTGGTGGTGGCTTAGGTGGCAGACTAGGCGGTGGGCTAGGCGGTAGTCTAGGCGGTGGTGTAACTGGTGGTCTAGGCGGTAGTCTAGGCGGTGGTCTTGGTGGTAGTCTAGGCGGTGGTGTAAGTGGAAATATTGGAGGTGGACATGGAGGTGGGTTGTCCGGTGGTGCAAGTGGCGGACTTTCAAGTAGACTTGGAGGTGGTGTTAGTGGTGGCCTTTCAGGTGGACTTGGAGGTGGCCTCATCGGAGGGACAGGTGGATCATTAGGGGGCAAGATTAAAGGAAGCCTTAGTGGGACTGGTGGTGGCTTAGGTGGCAGACTAGGCGGTGGGCTAGGCGGTAGTCTAGGCGGTGGTGTAAGTGGTGGTCTAGGCGGTGGTGTAAGTGGTGGTCTTGGTGGTAGTCTAGGCGGTGGTGTAAGTGGCGGTCTTGGTGGTAGTCTAGGCGGTGGTGTAAGTGGCCGCCTTGGCGGTAGTCTAGGCGGCGGTCTTGGCGGTAGTCTAGGAGGCAGTCTTGGTGGTAGTCTAGGCGGTGGTGTAAGTGGCGGACTAGGCGGTAGTGTAGGTGGTGGACTTGGAGCTGGTCTTGGCGGTGGTTTATCTGGCAGCAGTGGCGTGGGTATCAAGATGAAAAGCAGCAGCAGCAGCAGTAGTAGTTTATCTGCCGGAGGAAGAATTGGTGGTGGAAAATATGGAGGAAGTTCTGGAAAATGGGGCGGAAGTTCCGGTAAATGGGACTAAAGACCTAAGAAGGACTTCTAATTAGATAATAGTGTCTATTAAATACTTTACTTCATTTATGTTTTGTTTTTGTTTTGCCAGAACATTTCGCAACCTTATGCAGTTAAGTGGAATAGTAGTACTCATTTACAGAAGCTTTCATGCCATAGAAAGATATCAGAATTATATATTCCTCAGTATCATTGTTTCAAATTGGCATGTTGATATCATTAAATCCTCTTGTAGCCATGAAGTTATTTGATTAATCATATTTAGATTTATAAAACATTTATATCAAGGACATCATTCGTAAATATAAATCAACATGCAGACATCTTATACGTTCAGGTATTTCACATTCAATCGTTTATGGTAATATTCTTTACAAAGCACAAAAATGTCGGCATTCACCTCAAAAGCTAACCAAACCTTTAAACAGACTTATTCGGAAAGGATATAGTTACGATACTGTTGTCAAGTCAATAAGGATTGCATATTTTGGTATTAATATTGATTCACTCATAGGGTCTTTGCATCGGAAATAAACACATTTATTCTAAAACCAGTTGTTGGCATGATACGGGTTATGTTCTTCTCATATATTTTATGATGGTATGATACTAAACCCCTAACGGGAGGGATTGTACTTGATTTTCATATGATGAAGACATGATCTTTCAATCAGTTTAATTGAGGTCTGGAGTTGGCATGTCAGTAACTGCTAGTAGTCCTTTGTTCATTTATGTATCATTGTCATTTTGCTTAGTTTCTTTTGTTACCTATTCTGACATCGGACTCGGACTTCTTTTAAACTGAATTTTTACTGTGCGTATTGCTATGTGTTTCTTTATTCTACATTGGCTAGAGGTATAGAGGGAGGGTTGAGATCTCACAAAACATGTTTAACCTCGCCGCATTTTTGCGCCTATCCCAAGTCAGGAGCCTCTGGCCTTTGTTAGTCTTGTATGTTTTTTAATTTTATTTATTTATATGTTTTGGAGTTTAGTGTGACGTCCATTTTCACTGAACTAGTACACAATTTTATTTAGGGACCAGCTGAGGACCACCTCCGGGTGCGGGATTTTCTCGCTGCGTTGAAGACCCATTGGTGGCCTTCGGCTGTTGTCTGCTCTTTGGTCGGGTTGTTGTCTTTTTGACATATTCCCCATTTCCATTCTCAATTTTATATCGTTTTATTTCTTTTTTGAGAAGTGCGCGTGAACCTGTGATCATATTTACTATATATATATAAAAATATTAATTTTCGCGAACCATTTATGTCACGGAAATTCCATTTTTTGCCATCAGTAAGGAGAGTTGTACAAATAATGTGAATACACAAAACCCCCCCGATCCAATTCATCTTTTGCTAAAAATATTTATCATTTTCTGTTTTATATCTCCTAACATCATTCCATTTTTCTCTAATTTCGATTGAAATATGCCAAAACCTGCGGTAAAAATAGATGTATGCCCCAAATAAACATTCCCCGATTGGTTGAACTACTATGGCGTCAATGTAAAGCAACGCAAGCCTCGATGTAAAGCACACGCTTCCCAAGAGTAAGGAGAGTTGTACAAATAATGTGAATTCACAGACCCCCGATCCAATTTATCTTTTGCTAAAAGTGTTCATCATTTTCTGTTTTGTATCAACCAACAACATTCCATTTTTCTATAATCCCGATTTAAACATGTCGAAACCTGCAGTAAAAATAGATGTATGTCCCAAGTAAACATTCCCCGATTGGTTGAAAAGCTGTGGCCTTGATCTAAAGCAACGCAAGCACACGCAAAAATTTCCGTTGATATGTTGAACTTCGACCCCGGGATTCAGCCGATTCACATAGAGATTTTCTTGCGCTCAAATGTAATTCTAAGTGAAGTATACTGGTAAAGTAAAATTATATTCTTTTACAGAAATATTTACACATTTTATCATGAATGTATTGTCATGCTTCTGCATATTTACGCTGAGCTTTAGTAAAATATAATTCTATACAAATTTTGTTACGTCAAGCATTAAGAGTAAGAATATATTTCGCGCCATAACAAGAAAATAATCTGTCACCAAATAAGTTTATCAGCATCTTTCTCAAATTTTCCAACAGAAAATAGCGTTAATTATAGAGAAATTTTGGTGAGTATTACTAATTAATGTTAAGGTTCTCCAGAGGTGGTTCTCTACACCTTCTTGGCGGTCAATTTAATCCCATTTATCAATTATCCCCGATGGCGATGACACCCAGTCAATTTGTGTCTTCTTCTTCCTGGTACGGGAAAGACTCCGGTGCCGGAGTGTGGATATCCCGGAACTGTGGCGCTATGTACATGCAAATGGATGTCGAAAATTTTGTTATAAGATAAAAATATTTGCCACAGTTCAATTACAATTTAAAATAACATTAGTTGTAGCTTAATGTTAAACATATTCACATTATGTACAGTGGCTTAAATACACTAATTAATTAGCCAGACTAGAACCTCCAAATGTTAAGGTGGAGATACCACCTTTGAAGGATTCTAGGGAGGGTGACATGCAAATTGTTTCTGGGAGATCGTTCCAGACAGCAATAGTACTTGGGAAAAAAGATGATTTAAAAAAGTCTTTATTTGTATATATATGTCGAAATTTATGTAGGCCTCTAGTTCGCCTGTCAGATTGTGTCAGGACGTCATTAGTGATTTCGACCAACCCCCCATTAATCTTATAAATCAAGACAAGCTTAGCTTTTGTTCTACGGGATTGCAAGTTTTCCCATTTTAGTTTGTTTAACATACCAGTGACAGCACCTGGTGATCTATCATTATAGTCATTAAAAACATATCTTGCTGCCTTACGCTGTATCTGCTCAATTTGGTTTATTTGGCTTTGTTTGTACGGATCCCAAACTGGTGAGGAGTACTCGACGGTCGGACGCACAAGTGATGTGTACGTAAGGTTTTTAACCTTACGTGTACAATTTTTCATGTTTCTACGTAAAAATCCTAGTGATTTATTTGCCTTTGAAGTTATATTATTAATATGGGGCCCCCAATCAAGATCATTGCTTATAGTAACTCCTAGATACTTGCTGTCTTTGACAGATTCAAGTACATGGTTATGTAATTTGTATTGAAATAAATTAGTTTTCGACTTTTTAGAAATATTTATGACATAGCATTTTTCAGGTTTAATTTCATTTGCCATTCAGATTCCCAATTTTCAAGGCTTGATAGATTTTTTTGGAGTGCTTGAGACTCATTTATATTATTTGATGTTTCATAAAGTAAACAGTCGTCAGCAAAAAGACGAACCTTACAGGAGACATGCTCAGGTAGGTCGTTTATGAATAACAAAAATAAAGTTGGGCCTAATACTGTGCCCTGAGGAACACCAGAGTCAACAGCTAATTTGGATGATTGAACACCGTTAAGTAGGACTTGCTGTTGCCTGTTTGACAAAAAAATCTTTTATCCAAAGTAAGTTATTTTCACGTATACCATAATAATTAAGCTTTGTTATTAACCTTTCATGGGGGACCTTATCAAAAGCTTTGGAAAAATCTAAAAGTATTGCATCAACTTGATTACCTTCTGCTAAGTATTTGGCTATGTCCTGGATGCTGATAACAAGTTGTGCTTCACAGGAACGTTTACTCTTAAAGCCATGTTGGCAATCATTTAAAATATTATTTAAATCTAAATGTTTTCTTATGTTACTTGTTAAGACGTGTTCTAAAACCTTACAACATATAGCCGTTAAAGAAACCGGTCTATAGTTAATTGCATTATGCTTATCTCCCTTTTTAAAAATTGGCACAACATTTGCCTGTTTCCACTCTTCTGTGATTTTTCCATCATTGATGGATTTTTGAAAAAAGAATACAAGGAAGGGGGATATCTCTTCTGAGAGTTTATTAAGGAAAATAGCAGGGATATTATCAGGCCCACTAGCTTTATGGGGGTTTATATTTTTAAGGAGTGAAAATCTTATCTATTTGATGAAATAACTTCTTCATTAACTGTACATGCAAAGTTTTGAAGTTTTTGATAACCGTGTACATTCCCATTACATGTCCGCAAGATAAATGGGTTATGCATTTGTGAATTGTGCAAGTACAGTAATATTGTGTAATAATAATGGTGGAGGATAAAAATTGTGACGGTCAGTGCGTGATCACGTGACATTATTATTTGTAAACAAACGGGCTCCCCATGTAACACGTGTCGGAACTATCCATACAAGGTGCAATCAATCTTATATTTCACTATTTGATGATATTTCTGTGTCTGTTTGTAGGTTTTGCAGATCAGATGTCATAGTGTAGTTTCATAGACAAAAATGTACCATGATTGTTCCTGTTCATTAGTTGTGAATTTTTTTATAGAATTAGAAGGTAAGTCTACATAAGTCATTATTTAAATTAAGTCTGAAAAAAATGACAACTCTCTGTGTAATTTTTCCCCAATTTTTGAAACATGCATAATTTAAAGAGCATTTGCTTCCCTTGAACCCTCTCCCCTACAAATTGCCTAAAACTCATACTCATAGTCCGAGATTACTCTGATGTCCAACATCTGTTTTTGCGATTCCGGCATTTTAACTCTTTATTTTCAAATTGAACACACTCAGCCATTCAGCTTATTTGCATCATAAATGAACGAGGTGTTAGATTATGTTTTTTTTTGCTATTGAATAAGGGTCATTTTCATAAATCAGCTCTCATAATGCATTGTAAATTACTTTTTCTGTTGGTCATGTCACAATCTTTTAAAGTTAAAGTAAAAATGCCAGTATTGATGTGTCAATGTGAAAACTGTCCAAATATGAGAAAATAGCAGGTGGCAGGTCGATTAAATTTACTTAAATGAAGAGAAAAATAACTAATTGAGGCTCGATTTATAAAGATTATGTTTTCCTATTGAATAGGGGTCATTTGCATAAATCAGTTCCCATAATGTTGGTCATGTGACATTCTTATAAAGTGAAAGTTAAAATGAGGGTGGTAATGGGAGTACCTTCATGACGAATAACGGTA